TATTCTTCTTTTTGTGTTGATTGCAATTTAATAAGAAGTTACTTTTCTTATCTTTTTTTTTGGGTCAGTGCTTTCTTATTTTGTGAAAGATAAATAAAAGTTTTTTGATATACATCTAAAAACTTTTTTTTTGTTTTGGCTAAATACATCTAAAAATGTTTGTAGCTCGGTTGGAAGGTTTCCTTATTGAGTTTATAATAACAAACCAGATTCGATTCCACATCTCTTTCTTTTGATTTTTTTTTTTAATGCATCTGCGATTACTAACTTTTGTATTTTTGTTTTTTTTCTTAAAGTGTGTTTTTTCTATCATCCCCTTTCTTCTTCTCTTTGGTCTTACAACCTCCTTTTCTCTTTTATATTCATCCCCAAACCGATTTTTAATACATTTTTAGTATAAATATCAAACAATAACATAACACATATATAACCGGCAATTAGTCGGCTGATTTCGCCACGTTTTGTGAACATTGCAGGTTTATAATTAAAAACATAAAATAAAAAATAATTCCACAAGTGTACGTTAATTATCAGTGCTACGTAGCTTAATTAGACCATCATTATCCATGATACACACATGGTATCATTAAATATAAAATTATTAAAATACAACTTCTCTCTTACTTTTACTCAACTTTATACCTTCTCTTTCATTTTCTTACTCAACTTTTATTAATTTTATATTCTCTTTAAATATAAAATTATTAAAAACATACTCAAACACACTTTTTGAGTATCAAAAGTATCAACTCATTGATACACTCTCTCCAAAAATACCCATTATCTCTTCTTTTTACTCAAATTTTATTAATTTTACTAGGTGACTCGCCCGCGCTAAGCACAGGTAAATTATTTATATAATTATTATATTTTTGGACATTTAGGTTTAAAATGTTATGAGTCATATATTTAGATTTGTAGTCAAATTAATAAATCTAATTTAAAATTTGATAGATTATAGTGTATATACTACAGTATAAATAAAAGATAGAAAACGGTAACTATTTTGTCTTTATGAATTGACCATTGTTTTTTCATTTTTTTTTTGTCAAAGATTGACCATCGTTTAAAAAAAACTAAAATATGTAGAGGTTTGGTTGTATCCCGAAATGAATATTCTTCGTAAATAATATCGGAGGATTTTTTGTATTTTACAATTTAAAGGACTTTGAGTATATTTGGTAATTAAAACTAAATTTCTCATACAGTTCTTATTTATTTGGTTAAAAAATGGAAAGATTTGTTGTGGAGAATTTATTAAATATTTCCATTTTGTTACAATTTCCATAGTTTTAATATTGGTCAGCAAAGTTTATCAAATTTACGGATCTTTTTATATTTAATTCGAATAGATTCACTTTATTAAAGATTTCCATACTTTAAAATTTAGAATTGATTGTTTCTTTAGTTGGATATATTTCGAAAGATTTTCTTTTGGAGAATTTATTAAATATTTCCATTTTGTTAAAATTTGAATTGAAGTGGCATCAATGTTTAAAAAGACATTAATTTTTTTTTGTGGAGTTATTATTACCGATTTCCATAGTTTTAATATTGGAAAGCAATGTTTATCAAATTTACGGTTCTTTTTATATTTAATTCGAATAGATTCACTTTGTTAAAGATTTCCATACTTTAAAAATTAGAATTGATTGTTTCTTTATTTGGATATATTTCGAAAGATTTCTTTTGGAGAATTTATTAAATATTTCTGTTTTGTTAAAATTTGAATTGAAGAGACATCAATGTTTAAAAAGACATTAATTTTTGTGTGTGGAGATATTATTACCGATTTCCATAGTTTTAATATTGGTCAGCAAGATTTTTAAAATTTACGGATCTTTTTATATTTAACTCGAATAGATTCACTTTATTAAATATTTACATACTTAAAATTTTAGAATTGATTGTTTTTTATTGGGATCTTTATTTGGTTATAATTCGAAAGATTTGTTATGGAGAATTTATTAAAGATTTCCATTTTATTAAAATTTGAATTGAACAACAATATGAAAAATTTTAAAGTGCATAAACAATTTCCGTAAATTTTTTCAAGTTTAGATTAATAATGCATATTGTAAAAGATCTTCGATGTTTACCCTACCTGATTAATAATGCATATTGTAAAGGCAAAAAACATTATTTTGTAAAAACAAGAATGACTGAATAAACGAACGAAATTTAAATAATACATAATGTAAAATCAAATCTTCTTTTGCAGGAGATCACGTTTTTGATAATAACGTTTTAACTTCATCGATGGACTCGTTATTCTCATCATCCTTCTTCAATAATACATTAACATAATCTTGTCCCTTATACTCATAAT